TATTGACTAAATTCTGACGGCATTCAGCTTTCATAAATTATTGACAGGGAAAGATTATTCTTATTTATTAAAAATGCAGGCTAGTATTTTTAATTTCTTTTATCCGATCTCATACGTACGTACATCTTTCTAATATGATGGTGGAAAATCTATCTATCTATCTATCTATCTATCTATCTATCTATCTATCTATCTATCTATCTAGTTACCTGGTAAATTCAACATATGTATCTAAATAGAGAGACCGATTATCAACCTGTCTATCTAGCTAGCCAGCTAGTTGGTGTAAATATAATCTATGTAAATAAATAGATAGATTTTCAACCTATCTATCTATCTATCTGGTGAAATTCAATCCATTTAAATGTATAATTTTTAACCTATATATATATATATATATATATATATATATATATATATATCGTATTAGGTATCTATCTATCTATATATCTATATATATGTATATATATATATATATATATATATATATATATATATATATATATATATATATATATATATATATATATATATATATATATATATATATATCAGGGATTCCTATCTATCTATCTATCTATCTATCTATATATATATATATATATATATATATATATATATATATATATATCAGATTCGTATCTATCTATTTACATATCTATCTATCTATCTAATCAAGCCTGATTATGCATTCACGCACACATATACAAACTCGCGCACACATGTATGCGTATGTGTTTATATGTATGTATGTAGATATGTATGTTTAGAGAAGGACTTGATGAATAAATGTCTTGTTAGTCATGGACTGAGCTGGAAAAGTACTGTGCAGAAACAAAAGTGGCAAACAAAAAGAAAGAAAAATATATATATATATATATATATATATATATATATATATATATATATATATATAATAAATGAAAATAGAAAGAAAGATATGCAAAGAGAAAGACGTTCTAAATGAATGCAAGGAATGAATGGGAGGAAAAGAAAACATTGCGAAACAAAGAAATAAAGTTAAATGTATTTATGGAAAGAAAGAAATGTGAAAATAAAGAATGAATGTTTATGAAAATGAAGAAAGAAATAAAGAAAGAAAGGGATATTTCTGTTTTTTTTTTTCTTTATTTCTTTCTTCATTTTCATACATATTCATGAATGAATGAATGGAAACGTATTCTTAGTAAGAAATGAAAGTGAACAGAATAAACTGCGTAAACGAGAAAGAATCCGTGAAATTGTGTGAAAAGAAAAAAGTAGGGAAAGAAAGAAAGAAAATAAGAAATAATTATTTATAGAATGAAAAGAGAGGTTGATAGAGGGAAAAGAAAGATGTACACAAAACAAAACAAAAAAAAAAAAACAAGAATGAAAATGTTTAAAAAAAAGAGAGAAAAGATGAAAGGAAAAAAAGCAGAAAATTACCGGGAAAAAATGAAAGAAAGAAAGAAAGAAAGAAAGAAAGAAGAAAGAAAGAAAGAAAGAAAGAAAGAAAGCAACCGTGACAAATCTCACATAATCAAACACAACAAATAAAACGCGTATCCATATTGGTGCATATCGGAGAGAAATTAAAGGAAATTAAAAAAGAAATAAAGAAAGAAGCGGATAAAGTAATGTGAAAAGAAAGAAAGAAAGAAAGAAAGAAGGAAAGAAAGAAAGAGAAAGTTTGAATGAAGCGAATAAAGGAAGAAATGTTTGAATAAAGCGAAGAAAGAAAGAGAGAAAGAAAGGAAAGCAGGTAGAAATGGATCGAATGAAACAAAGAAAGGAAGAAAGAAAGGAACAAGAAAGATAGAAAAAAGAACAAAAAAGAAAAATATCGAATGAGGCAAAGAATGACAGAAGGAAAAACGTCGAATGAAGCGAAAAAAGAAAGAAAGAAAGGAGGAAATGAAGGAAAAAGGAAAAGGTAGACAGAATCGAAACAAAGAAAGAATATAAAAGAGAACAGTGAAAGGGGCATTACTAAGAAAGAAAGAAAGAAAGAAAGAAAGAAAGAAAGAAAAAGAGAGAGACACACAAATCTCATATAACCAAACACAAAAAATAAAACACATATCTATGCAAATCGGATAGAAAAAAAAGAATTTAAAAAAGAAATAAAAAAGAAACGCGTAAAAATAGTGGGAAAAGAAACAAATAAATAAATAAAGAAAGAAAGAAAGAAAGAAAGAAAGAAAGAAAGAAAGAAAGAAAAAGAAAAAAGAAAATGAAAAGAAAAAGAAAAAAAAAAAAAAAGAAAGAAATAGAAACAAACTATACAAAAATAAATAAAACTCGAATCTCTGCTGGTACAAATCGGATCCAACATTTTTGGATAAGCATTTTCGCTATTATTATTATTATTATTATTATAATAATAATAATAATAATAATATTATTATTATTATTATTATTATTAATATTTTTATTATTATTGTTATACTCCATTTGTGTTTACGCATCATTACACAAAAGGCATACAATTTAAAATTCCGAACACAAAGATATTCATCTGCACTTGTGTCAATATTAACATTACACAATTCATTTCTCTTCCTTATACAATTTAAATTTCTTTCTATTCTTTCATTTAACATCGTGTATTCTCCTTGCACACTCGTCATGTATTAATAATATTAGTGATACGATAAAAATGCTTTTTTTTCCCTATCAAAATGTGTTTTCGTATGAAACTCTTTTAATCAATCAAGCGTCTATTTATTTATTTATCAAATAAATAAATAAAAATCGAAATGGATTAAATCTAAAATTAATGAATTAAGTAAATTTTCAATTTTCAATGACATTTATTCTCTATCAGTCGCTTTCATCTGCGAAAATTTTATATCGTCCATTCGTGGATCGATATATATTTGTAATACTTGAACTGTATTAGTTAATAATTTTCACGTCAATACAAGTTTCCAGAGAATTTTGTTAAACGTTTTAAATCAAAAGCCGATATTTCAAAAAGGCAATAACGATTTATGTGTATTGTCAGTTATTTTTGTTTATTGAACCATAATTTCAAGACTGTTCAGTAAAATAAGATGATTCGGCTACATGTATGGATGTACAAAATTGAAATAATCGATTAACTCGCCAATATATGAATTAAACTGATTTTTCGGCAAATAAAATTCAAATCGATTTCTAGAATATGGTTATAATATTATCCAAATATACGAAAATTCAGAATACGAAGGGAATTGATTTTTAGCTTGGAGAAATATAGTTATTACAAATACTGAATTTCAAAGTTGCCATTATAGATATCCGTAGAATGAAAAATATTTCACGTCTAGATAATAATGACTATTAATTGAAGTATGGAATAGATATATCGTATATTAAATGGAATCCAAATACTTGTTCTTAAATGTATCATTTCAAACAATATATTACAGGGTAGGGCAGATATATCTCCCACATATACCTCCCAGCATTACGTAACTCATAATGGTATTATATTAGTGAAAATGGTCTCTTCATCGAGCTTGCCGCAACCTGTTCTTATATCTATATTAACACATCTATCTATCTATCTATCTATCTATCTATCTATCTATCTATTCCAGCATTTTCATATCTATCTATCTATCTATCTATCTATCTATCTATCTATCTATCTATCTATCTATCTATCTATCAAAGCATTTCCATATCTATCTATCTATCTATCTATCTATCTATCTATCTATCTATCTATCTATGTCTGATAGTTTGTTTAAAGATCTTTAGACCCAACCAAATTCTCAAATCGATCACTCTGTCAGTCTTCACACAGACACACACGCACACATACACAAGGAGAGACCCACACACAGACACACACACATATATATATATAAAGATAGATTAGGTAGATAGGTAGATGAGAAAAGAATTCGATAGTTAGATAGATACCTTTCACATTACAGACATTTTCTAAATTGCCATTATTATTTTTCTCTCTGTCTACATAATATTACCTGCATCTTTGTTCACAAACAGAAACAACACGCACACACACGCACACACACACACATATATATATATATATACACACACACACACACATATATATATATACACACACACACACACACACACACACACATATATATATATATATATATATATATATATATATATATAGAGAGAGAGAGAGAGAGAGAGAGAGAGGGTAGGGAACGAGCTGGAGTTAAATACATGTAGATGTTTATATTCTTACGTTTACATGATTTTTACAATAGTAAATACAATGTCTATAAAACGTTTGTATTTATTTAAGAACAATATTCTTTTTTTCTCTTTCTCTCTCTCTCTCTCTTATATATATATATATATATATATATATATATATATATATATATATATATATATATATATATATATTTTTTTAGGATATTGCATTAAAAACATGTGAATAACGCCACACAAATTCAATCATGTTTCGATGTGTATTAAGACATCTCCTCAGGCGTTAGTACATGAATGGTTAGTAGACAATTGAGATTTAGAAGACAATATACAAACTCTTTTTATGCGCAAAAAGGAAGAAAAGGAAAAGAACAAGAAAGAAAGAAAGAAAAAAAGAAAGAAAGAAAAAAAAGAAAGAAAGAAGATACAATCTCTTTTCCAGAGAAAAAACATAAGTGTAGGAAAGAAGAATTTGTTTTGTTTATAATCAGATCCACCAATCACAATGGCTTACGCTAAATTAATGTTACGAATTCGATTCGTTCTCATTTCATATATATATATATATATAGTTATTTTCTAAGAGTAGCTTACATGTGGCACAATGCCGAAAGTATGGGACACTTAGTGAGGATCGAACTCACTTTTCATTCGTAACTGATCTAGCGAGACAAGATTGCTAACCTTTACACCACGGCGAGGTACCCTGTAATGATTTTCAAAGCGTAGGTTAGGTGTGGCACAAGGCCGAAAGGTATGGGACACCTAGTGAGGATCGAATTCATTTTTCATTCGTAACTGATGTAGCGAGACAAGATTGCTAAACATTACACCACGCCGAGGTGCATATATATATATATATATATATATATATATATATATATATATATATATATATATAAGTGTATCAAAAATTATTTTACTAACTTTGGGTGCAGTTTCTTAACACCAAAACCAGTGAAAATGTACATTTAAACATATGCGCAAATCCGTCATTGCATCTCAGCATAGCAACTCATAATAAAGATTCAAACTGCCCCCCTTTCTTCTACACATGAAGGATCATTGTTGACTGGCAATCTTTTTCAAGTACTCCCACACGGTGGCGAATGCAGGCCCACATGACACGTTGATGAAGCGTGTCTGCATTATTAATGTCTACTGCATCAACAATTTTAGGTGGCCCCACGGATATAAATGTAAAGGATTGAAGTCGGGAGTAACGTGCAGTTCATAGAACCGGTCCTCATCTACCTATCCATATTTTATGGTAAATGTCAGCCAGGTCATCGCGAACAATATGACTAAAATGTACTGGAGTCCCATTATAAATGAACCACATGCGTCTTCGTATTAGCAGGTGTACATCCTCTAGCAGGTCTGGAAGTGTGTTCAAAATAAAACCCCTGTAGACAGCTCCTGTAAAACGTGCTTGGAGAACATATGGACCTACCAGACCTACAATTCCAGTCCACCTATTAATCGTAAACTTGTGTCTCGCTTGTATTTTATCATGGGGATACCAATCTGCTCACAAATGTCGGTTGTGAAAATTTGTTATTTCATCTTTTCCAAAGTTTGTACAAGAAACTTTCGGAGAAAAGTTCTCCGACGGTGAGGAACCAGAGGGCGAAAGACTCAACACAGGTTGCATATGATACGAATACAAGAGCTTCACTTGAATTACCCCACTGTAATAAAGCCAGATGTATTGGTTAGTTGGCTTTTCCTGGTATCCGGATTCAAAATACTAAGGGGTAAGTGTTGTTATATTCTAAGATCCAAACCTCCTCCCAATTTAGTCGAGTCCACAACTACACTTATGATGTACGGCATTCTAGGGCCATTTGACGTGTGCTGATACCTGGATCGTCACCAATAGCCTGCAGAATGTTCTTCGTGGTCAGGCGTACGAGCGGATCTCGGTCTTCCTCACTCCATAGTTTCTGGTGCCACAGATCCTGTCTCAACAACGCGTCGATAAAACGCAGCAAAGGTTGGATGCATCGGCTGCCTTCGGTCTCGAAGCATAATCTGATAAAGCCTCGCGTCCATTACCATTCGCGTGGTCCTATTCAAAAATCATATTTGCCAGCTCACGATATGAATATCCTGCCATTTTTAAACGGAACACGTTAAATGTTTAAAACAGACTAGACATAAATGTACACGAAAGACAAATGTAATCTAGTCTACAGGGTAACACAGCGCGCTATAAATTTGTTATCCCATCGGTCGTCAAATCCTTAACCAAGACTGAAGAGACAAGCAACTGATCGGCAGTTTGTATAATAAACAATCAGCAAGAATTCTCCTTGGATGTTAAAAAGAAAGAAAAAGAAATTTCTTGGAGATGTACGGCATGCTAGGGCCACTTGACGTGTGCTGATTTCCGGATCATCTCCGACAGCCTGTAGGATGTGTTTTTCGTGACCACGCGTCTGAACGGACCTCGTTCTTCGTCGATCCACTGATCCTATCTCAGGAAAGCGACGATAAACAGCAGCAAAGGTTGGATGATTCTGCAGCCTTCCGGCTGGAAACGCAAATTGATACAGCCGTGCAGCTTCACGTCCATTAGCATTCTCGCAGCCGTATGTAAAAATCATATCTTCCTGCCCACGATATGAATACCCTGCCATTGTTAAACGGAACATTTCTCAGTTAACTCACTACTACACACGTTAAACGATGAAGACAACTAGCCACAAATGTACACGAATGACAAATGTAACTTAGTCTACATGGCAGCACAGCGTAATCTACCGGAAACTTTCTTTAAAATTATTAACTCAAAAACGAAGGATTTGTGAACAGCTGTTTATATGGACTTTCGTCCTTGATTTGGTGTGAGGAACCAGCTCCACCCCCAAATGCGTGTGTGTGTGTGGGGGGCTAATTTACCCAAAATATCGATTCGTCAATCTTCTTCTGATCCGACCATGCATAAGAATATGTATATATATATATATATATATATATATATATATATATATATATATATATATATATATGGGAGAATATGATATGCACATTTATATACATCAGAACAATGTTAGTCAACTGAATGACAAATTAGAAAAAAATTCTGTGTAACGTGTTTCGTCCTATAGAAGGACATCATCAGATTAAAATTAATGTTTTTATTGATGGGATTCTAGATGTGCATTGCCGATGGTAGTTATGTGGATGATTGTCATGTAAATTCTGTTAATTCAGTGATTTATAAATATAAGTGTAGTCATGGACTCGACTAAATTGGGAGGACGTTTGGATCATAGAATATAACAAAACTTACCCACCAGGATTTAAAACTCGGATACCAGGAAA